AAAAGGGACCCCTTTCAAACAGTGTCGCGTTCCGAACGTTGTTTAAGCGACATATACCGGTATTGCAGTGTTTTAAAAATTCATCATAACAAAAATAAACACCGGTATTCGGTATGAACCGGTATACCGTCCAGCACTACTCTCTATTCTCATTCAAAAACAGCATTGAGGAATGTTTGAGGTCTATCTGGACCTCACAGGAAATTATGACAAGTCCTCCAAGCATTCCTTCAGCTCTTATGACACAGGGAGGGAACGGCGATCATTTCTGCATGACACATTCATGCTATCTGACGCCAGCGATAGAGCAAGAGCCCACGCGAAATAAGAAAACCTGTTTTGTCAAAGCAATAACTCTCTCTTAAGCACTGAATGGGGAGCACAACAAAAGGAGGGATTTTTGTTTCTCTCTAACAAAAGAAAAGGAAGGATATCTTTGAAAGCGATTCATTACGAAATGTTGTAACGGTGTTGTTTGGTAAATCCATCAGCTACTATGTTAGGGTCTCTTTACACACCGCAGCAGGACATAAAAAGCACACTAGTGTAATCATTACATTATCATCTTCTTTGTACTGTGCATGTCACAGTGATTCATTGAGCTTGCTCACTGCTGTGAATGTGGGTTAGAGATGTGCAGAGGCTTGTAAACACCTCCCTGATGCTGAATCTACGCCACCGCTGGTCAATCTTCAGCACCAGAGCAAAAGAAATCATACTGTACCTGAGTTTACCTTCTGTATTGAATGTAAAGCAATGAAAAGACTGTATAGTACTGTGTCCAACCAGTGCAGCCTGATTCTGAAGCAAATTATTCTTATGAACGGTTCTTTTTAGTGAATCAAACACATTCAGTCCAAACAGTGCGGCCTGATTCACAAACAAATCTTATGAATAATTATTTTTAAGTGAATCAAAAATATACAGCGCAACCAGTGTCGTCTGATTCACACGTTTGACTCTCATGAACAGTTCTTTTTAGTGAATCAAAAGCATACAGTACAACCAGTGTAGCTTAAGTCAATAACAAATGACTCCTATTCTATGAATAGTTATTTTTAAGAAATCAAACACACTGCGCAACCAGTGTAACCTAATTCACACACATTTGACTCTTGTGAATGGTTCGTTTTAGTGAATCAAAAACATACAGTGCAACCAGTTGAGCATGATTCACAAACAAATTACTCTAAAAAACAGTTCTGTTTCGCTGGGGTATATTTGTAGCAATAGCCAACAATACATTGTCTGGGTCAAAATTATAGATTTTTCTTTTATGCTAAAAATCATTAGGATATTAAGTAAAGCTCATGTTCCATGAAGATATTTTGTAAGTTTCCTACTGTAAATATATCAAAACTTAATTTTTGATTAGTAATATGCATTGCTAAGAACTTCATTTGAACAACTTTAAAGATGATTTTCTCAATATTTAGATTTTTTTGCACCCTCAGATTCCAGATTTTCAAATAGTTGTATCTCAGCCAAATATTGTCCTATCCTAACAAACCATACATCAATGGAAAGCTTATTTAATCAGCTTTCAGATGATGCATACATCTCAATTTCACAAAATTGACCCTTTTGACTGGTTTTGTGCTCCAGAGTCACATATAGAATGTAACAATTAAATGTGTGTTTTGGATGTTTTCTTTCCACTAGTCTGAAAAACGACATGTTTCAGCAAAGTAGACCTCAGAAGTGACCACGTGTTTGCCTGCAGCGTCTCACCGTGAGATCTGACGTTATTTCACCGACACTGTGCCTCCAGTTTCATTCATGCCAAAATAAAGCAGTAAGCCCCGTGAAGCCGTGGTTTACAGTGAATTTATAACAGCTAAGGGGCGTTAACAATGC